GGAAACAGGTGCAAATGAGGTTCTCACCAGTCACGCTGCAAGGAACCCAAACCCAAATCTTCTTAGAACACTCAGCTGGGATTCTGTGATCCCTCCTCTCCATCATTCTGGAGAACTGCAGAAATTCCAGTTTTTCCCAAAGAGAGAGCAACATTTCAAAAGCTGAAGGAAGTCTTGGCTTGGGAGGAAAAGGGAGATCCCCCACTCTGCTCCAGCAGCCTCCAAAACCACAGTGGAACCCTGTCCACATTTGCTCCTGGTGGAATTCTGAAGGTCAAAATGTCACTGCTCACCCTATTGCTCCAACAAAGCACTTAAGCTTGTTCTTTAGAACTAAAATACAAAAGTAAGCACTTTCCTGGGGTGTATTTACAGAGTTAATAAAAATGCTGAGCCGCATTCCAATTTTCCTTACAATTTCCCTGCAAACACATTTATTTAACAGGATTTCTGACTGAAGATTTGATGCCACTCCCTCCTTATTTCTACAGAACTTATTCACCAAATGGATGAGCTGAATGACGAGCTGCTAAAGATGATCGCAAACAACAAAATTCAGCCTCCCCACAGGAATTTCAAAGTGGAAAAGCCTCAGGAAGTTTTTGTGCCCCTCACCTTTGAATCCAGCACCGAAGAAGTCAAAGCTTGGCTGGAGGCAAAGTCATTCAGCAAAGAGTAAGATTTGCTTTATTGCCACATGAAATGCTGCTCCTTTATTGGAAAAGAAGCAGAGGAGGCCACTTGCAACATCTCAACTGTGTGACAAGGCACTTGTATTTACTTACAAAGCCTGTGTTGCAAAATGCATTTCAATCCTGGTAAATCCAGGCTCTATAACCAGGGCATTCAGAGCCCAAACTCCCTCCCTTCCTTTCTTATACGTGTTTTCCTGGAGAAAACTGCATAATAACTAACTAAACCCATGGCCTGAAACGCAACTGGGATTGCAGCTGCCACCTTGGCACAGCTCCAGGGCCTCATGATGTGGTCCTGATGTAGCTTCCATCCCTTTTATCTCTGGCACAAAGCCATCATCTCCTCCCTTTGTGTTTTCCCAGGACAGTGGAACACCTTGGCATCCTCACTGGAGCTCAGCTCTTCTCCCTCAACAGAGAGGAGCTGAAGAAGGTGTGTGGTGATGAGGGAAACAGAGTATACAGCAAGATCACAGTGGAGAAAAACCTACTGGAGGTAAGTATTTTTCTGGATAATCCCTACTTTACTAGCAGTGTCAAATATCTCATTAAACAGGCATTTTAAGAAACACAATTGAAAGAAACGAAAAACAATGCAACCAAAACCCACACCATCAATCAAACACACCAAAAAATTCTCAAGGGGCTTTTAAGCAAAAAGGTCCTAAATCCATAAGGCAGATCCCTGTTTCCACAAATTAATCTGCTTTTTGCTAATATATCTTTCAAACTAGCTTGACCCTTACAGTATGAATTAAATACTGACATTTGCCTACAGCTTCAAGTTCAAATTCAAACCTGCTGGTTTTTTTTTTCCATTGCAGAAAAGCAGAGGGGAGTCAGAGCTCCAAGAAATCATGAAGCGCCGCCAGGAAAGGATTGATTCCGCTAATTAAAGCCTGTCTGCTTTATTTCAGCTCTTAGTTCTAGTAGTGCAGAGAAAAAGGGAATGAAAGCAATGATCCCCGGGCCAGGCAGGAGACAGCAGTGCTGCACTTTGGCTCTGGCTGCCAGCAGAGTGACAATTCCTCCAACACTGTCGCTAAGGGTTGACAATAAGACCATGTCCCTCTGGGAAAGGTGTTTTAATATTGCATGAAGTATTTTTTTTTATAACTAAGTATTTTATACTGAAATTTTACGTGCATGCAGTCAGAGCGGGATTCACACGGGTCTGGATGAACGACAAGGGCTGGATTCAAGCAAAAAAAAGACCCCACAAAGCTTTTGTCTGAGGGCTATCCCTGCTCCCACCCCCTCTCCAGCATGGCTCGGGAAGAGCAGGCACGGAACAGCACTGACTGGTTGGAGTCTGGACCACGGCAATAAGGCTCTGAAATGGTCTGGGTTGGAAAGGACCTTAAAGCTCATCCTGTTCCAACTCCGGTCACGGGCAGGGAGGTCTCCCACTAGACCAGGTTGTTCTAAGTCCCATCTATCCTGGCCCTGAACACTTCCAGGAATGGGGAGTCACCACCTCTCTGGGCATCCTAAGCAAACCTTTTCTCATTCCCTCCTCAGAGCAGATATTCCCCTGCACAGGGCCTGTGACAATTCTCTCTTCTCTGGCTCCCCCCCCGCCACTTCCCTCCATGCCCCCTGTTTGGACAAGGTTGGAATGGCAACACACATTCCCAAATACTGTCTGCTTCCTTAAATCCATGGACCAGTTAGTGCTGGCTTTGAACAATGGAACTGAGTTTTCACTGCCTAAAAACGAGCAGGAGTGACAAAGGAAGTGATCTGAATATGGAAATAGGTGAGTTCCCCATGCCCACTCCTCCTTAGGCAGAGCCTGGGGCTCAGGGCAGCTGTGCAGCCCTTTCCAGTGACACTGATCCTGATTTGGAATGTTGTGGTGTTGCCAAACCCCGCCTCAAACCAGGAGAAGATAAGCCCTGACCATTTGCTCCCAACCCAGTTACACCCACAGCCCTTCCCAGGGTGTTGGTCACCCGTCCCCACCTTCACCACTGCTTTGCAAAGGCTCCGCTGAAACGCCTCCTAAACCTTTAAAACCCAAAGGCACACTGGGAAAGGCTGGTTTAGCACAAAATAAATGGCCACCAAAAAAAAAAAAAAAAAAAAAAAAAAAAAAAAAAAAAAAAAAAAAAAAAAAAAAAAAAGGGTAATTTGGCACAGGGTGTTTTTCTTTATCATATTATGTGCATATGTATATAACAACCGATAAACAGGGGTGAAGTGAAACAGGATGAAGTGATTATGCATCAAAAATTTACTCAAAATTTTAAAACTCCAGCAAGTACAGAGTAGTTCCTGTCCACAGTAGGTTTGGCACATTCTATTTCTGTCTCTGTTTAACTTACAGACCTACCTGAGTGCAAAGCAGTAAAGCAAACAGCTCCAAACTGCTCGCAGCGCAGGGAGAGTTGGGTCTTCTCCTTCACACACCTTACCTTTGGCTGGGTGGGATTCATGTCCAGGTTCCACACCTGTGCTTGCCTGGACCTGCTGGGAATGGTCCTACCTCCTCTAAAGTGCTTGTCCTTGCACATTTAATGGAAAAAGCTTTAAAACAGTGTCTGGGGAACTTGTGTCTAAACCTAGGAGCACCAACACACCTCAGTTTTGGCTTTGTTCTTCAAATAATGTCTCTAATGGATGATACATTTTCTTTATTTAAAACAAGGACTGGAGTGCAGGCAGGGAATTTGCAGGGCGGGATCATCTTTTTAGTCCCAACCCTGCTGGAATATGTGAAGGGCACTTACCTTGTCAGGGAGGGATGAAGACAACAACCGTCCTGAGAAGCCCTGGCTCTGGAGTAGGGTGGAGATAAGAGGCGGGATGGCAAGCACAGGAGGCAAAGCAATTCCTAAAATGAAAATAAAACCAAGTGTTGAGCTAGGAAACACACCACCTTCCTTTCTTTGGGTGTAGAGGAAAGCAAGTCCCACAGAGTTATAGTTATTAGGGATTGTAATGGGACAGTTCTGCAAAGCTGGGAGCCATGGGAGCACTTCCTAAAGTAAACATCTCACCAGACCCTACTGCAGGAGTCACTTTTATAAATTTTCATGCGACTGAGCTGTGCATCTGTTCTACTTGTACTGCCTACAGACAACGCTATAAAGTCCTGTACATTGACGTAACTGAAGGAAGGAGACAATGATATAACCATGCACTGTATAAGATTTATTAAAATAGTTAAGTTATACTTATAACTCCATCTCCGTCTTGTTTGCTGGGTTTTCACAATGGTTTGTCACCGAGTCTCAGAAACTCACCAAAATGTCTGAACCCACACGTTTCCTGGGGGTTTGGGAGACTGGCATTCAACAGCAAGGATGCTGTGGCCTCCATAACAGTGTCCAAAAAGGGGGGGGGGACCTCACACATAGTAGGAATTAAAAGCCAGGAAAGCTGCCAACTCAACTCCTTTCCTTGACACCTTGAAGAACAAATTTCTCTTACCCCTGGAAAGTGTAACTATGACAATACACCAGCGTATTCACACATAGATGCTGTTTAAGGCTACATTTTGCACTGGCAAGCTGAAAACCCCCAATCTTGGTCAATGCCAGCTTAGGCACAGCCCAGAGCAAAGAGATGCCTCTGTGCATTATCCTCTTTTGGGCTGGGCAAAGCATGAGAAAGGTGTACAAAAGCACGTTCTTGCTCATCAGTAAGGAAATTCCAGTGGCAGCTTACACAGCTGGAACAAAAGAGGGGACAGCATTGCTCAGAGCCTGTTAGACAGCCAAGTGACAGATTCTCTGACATTTCCAGCCAAGTCCTGCCCCCTGTTTCAGGAGCATAACCACGTTAACAGGATCACCTTCTCTAGAACCTGAAAAAAGTTGAGGTGAATGAACAGCCCAAAACACGTGCCTTGCTGGGTTGGGGGCTCTCTCACAGGCCGGAGCTGCGGCTGACTAGTCATTTCGAGCCTTGCCGCGACAGCAGGGGAGGAAACACAAAGCGCTGAGCTCCTGCAGCTACTGAGCACTTCCCTCAGTGCTGCCTCGCCCTCAGAGCCCGTCCGCCATCTTGTACCAGCGGCGGCGCCCCGACCCCGCGCGGCCATGAGGGACGGCTGGCTCAGGGGAGGCTCAGGCGTTCTGCCTGGCCGTGGGGAAGCCCTCAGGGGAGGTTCGACAGCCGGGAGATCCCAGGTCAGGCGATCCCGGGGCCGGGAGCCCCCCCGGGCCCACCCGCCGGGGGCAACGGCGGCATCAGGGTCGCCAAGGCGACCACCCGCCCCGACCCTCAGAGCCACGACCCAGCCAATCAGAATGGCCCTCCCTCCCGCTGCCCCGCCCCGGCTCCTCCCGGCCGCGTCCGCGCTGTGTCGGCGCTCCCGATTGGCTGGCCGCCCCCCCCCTCGGGCCGGGATTGGCGCGGCCGCCAGGAGCCCGCGGGCGGCGGGTGCGCGCGCAGACCGGTCCCCTCCGGGCACGCACGGTCCCTTATAGGTGGCCGGAGCCCCCCAGAGCCGCCGACATGTCGGTGTCCCCTGTGAAGCGGCAGAAGATGGAGTCGGCGCTGGACCAGCTCAAGCACTACACCACGGTGGTGGCCGACACCGGCGACTTCAACGGTGAGGGGCGGCGCGGGGCGGGGGGGGTCGTGTCAGTGCACCTTCTCCTTAACCCCCACCCCTCCTGGCACAGTGGGCGCGCCCGGCTGAAGGGGCGCACGGCGGGGGCAGAGCGAACCATCCTGCGGCGGGGGGGGGAGCCGCTCGTCCAGCCCCGGCCTCTGCAGCCGGCGGGGGAGATCCCGCCCGCCCGCCCAGGACATTTTCCAGACCCTCCCGTGATTTTCTCCCTGTCTGCTCTCCAGTGTGCCAAAACCGCCACGCTCAGCTCCGCGCGCTGTCAGTAGGAACTGCCAGACTCAGCCCAGGCTCTGAATTCGAGCTTTTTTCCAGAGACCTGTCTGGATTTGGGACTTTTTGGGTTTTTTTCAAACTCAGGGCCAGGTTGGATGGGGCTTGGAGCAATCTGGGATTCCAGGTGTCCCTGCCCATGGCAAGGGGTGGAAGTGGGTGATCTTCGAGGTCCCTTCCAACCCAAGCCATTCCAGGATTCCATAAAAATAATGCCAAAGTGCTTTTGTTCCCCTTATCTCCTGGGAATGAGCCAGCGCGCTCCTTTCCGAGGAAGGGAGGTGCCTTCCATTATAAAGCCACTTGTTCCCAAGCTGTCACTGCCTGGTGCCCTGCTTGGTCCATCAGAGCCAAAAAATCCCTCCTGAGAATCTGCGGGTGGCGTAGAACAGCCCTGGAATCCCGTCCTGCCCTCCCCAGCCCGGTAATCCCTAATCCTGGACGTGTAATAATAACCAACCAACCACCCCACACAGGAACTGTCAGATGTCTCTGAGCAGTGAATTTAAGGTGAAGAGAAGCAGCTCAGACAAAAAACTACCCCATGTGGTGGCCGAGGGGGTGGTGGTGTGCAGGCGGCAGGACCAGGGAATATCCCACAGGGGATCCCCGAGTCCAGCTCCTGGCCCTGTGTAGGACACCTCCAGGTTGTCCTCTGGCTGCCTGTTGTCACCTGGGGGTCATTGCTAGAACCCAAAGCAAGGTAAGAATCCCACCTGGCTCTGCTGAAGGTGCAGTCTCTGCCGACTGTGGTTCCCCGCTGGGTTGGGTACAGAGCAGGAGTTCACTGAGGTGCTGCTCTGTTTTAAGCCGTGTCCGCATGAATTAAAGTTTGGAAGGACCTGTTTGTATGGAGCAGAGCTGCTCTCCAAGATGCTGACTGGGAGCGATCTGTGGAAAAACAAGACTTATTTTCAATACAGTTGCACAGTTTCAGTACAGCTGCACTCTCTAACTTCGGGGGTTCATCCCTATGCAAAAAAAAAAAAAAAAAACCAAAAACTGAGGAGAAGGAGCTGGTAACAAAAGTATTGTTATTTTTTTACGTTTAACTGCATTGTTGAAACTGCTGAGGGGCCTGCAGAGGCTCTGCCCTGTTTGCCCAGCCAGGCTCTGGTGCCAGGCTGTGATTACAGCCAGACAATGTAAGTCACAGCCTGCTTTGGTAAACACTTGGCATCACCTGGAATAGGTGCAGTCCAGGGCTTAAGGTAAGACAAAGGGTCAAATACCTTCTGCAAAGAAGAAAGCCTGGTAGTACAAGGAAGTGACAAGGCCACCGAGAAACTACATCTATTTGGAAAAGGCTTAAAAAGCAGTAAGAAAAGTTGCTGTTCACCTGTCCTGGTCCCATTATCCTTGGACGCCAACAAAAGCCTGAATTCCTGACTGCTGGAAGGGAAGATCCCCTGGTCTTTACTCCCCGCTCTGTGATTCCTGAAGCTCAGTTATGCTGGGTGGAATATAGTTGGAAATCAGCACCACTTCTCTTCACCATTTTTACAAGCCTGTATCTCTTGGGCAATGTCTGTAGTTTATAAGGCTTAAAGTTTGCTGTATCTCGTTCTCTGTACTGTGGCACAAACACCTCTGAGTGCTGATGTGCTCTGCCATTACCAGACTCTACGGCCACAAGTGTTTACATCCTCACCCACCTGAGCAAAACCCCTCTCATTTCTGGGGCTGGATGGTTGTTTTAAACAGCCTGGTTTTCCCTCCTTAGCCATCGAGGAGTACAAGCCTCTGGATGCCACCACCAACCCGTCCCTGATCCTCGCCGCGGCCCAGATGCCAGCGTACCAGAAACTCGTGGATGATGCTGTTGCCTATGGGAAGAAGCTTGGTGGGTAAGTCAAGAGGGCTTTAATCTCAGGACACCTATGTTTAAAATGCCTTATTTGTACAAGCAGCCTACTGGGGTTTCCCCCTCGTGTGCTTGTGGGTTTATCTCCCGCCCCAAAAAAGCCTCAGCACCGGAAGAAAGATTCCTTACGCTCATGGCAGATGTGATCCCCCATTTACCAGCTAACACATGGCCTTCCCTGCTCAGGAAAACAGCGGCTTTATAGGAAATAACGTCCAAAGGCTAATCCTGCCAGCAGTACAGAGGGCAGGACACAAACACAGAGCAGAGCATGAGTGGCTCATTTGAACTCTGGAATTTAATGTTAAACAGGCTGTGAAATTTGATCTTCAATTCCATGGTAAAGCATAAACATACCTCTTTTTTTTTTTTTTTTTTTTTAATCCTCCCATATGCTTTTGCTTCTGGTGGTTTTCAGGTCAGAAGAGGAACAGATCAAAAATGCTTCTGACAAGCTTTTTGTATTGTTTGGAGCTGAAATCCTCAAGAGGATACCCGGCCGTGTGTCCACAGAAGTAGATGCAAGGTTGGCTCTTTTTCCTCTGGGTTGCCCTGGATATTTGTACATACAGAGAGAGACATGATGTGAGCTGGAAAAAGGTGTTCTTGCCTAGAAGACTATCAGGATTTACATTGTTAATATTCAGAAGTGTGGCTTTCCCTTAGTTTGACTAGAACTCTGTAAGAAAAACAAGTAGCACTGCCCTTGGATTTCTCTAATCTTCCTGTTGTTTCTCAAGCCAGGGAAGCCTCACGCTTCCACACTCTTAGTTCTGCTTATTCTATTCTCTGTGATAACAGCTGCTCAATTTAGCAGGAGATCTGTTTGAACAGTTTATTTCAAGACTGGGATTTGTCTGTTAAAAAAAAATAAATAAATTTGGCAGTGAGCAGCTTAACACTCAGCTTCTAAATTTGTTATGAAAAAACTTCCTGCTCGACGGGCTCACAGTCTGGGAGGGGACCCCAGAACGAAAACATTGTCCTGTTTCATCAGTGTTCACATGCCAGCTGCAGCTGGCATGTGAACACTGATGAAACAGGACAATGTTTTTCCACGGGGCCTGGTGGGGAGAGCACACGAAACCAACAGTCAGCTCTGAGCAGCCCTGCTCTCCTCTCAAAGGTTGTCCTTCGATAAGGAAGGAATGATCCAAAGGGCCCGGCGCCTCATCGACCTCTACAAGGAAGCAGGAATTGGGAAAGATCGGATTCTCATCAAGCTCTCCTCGACGTGGGAAGGAATCCAGGCTGGCAGGTAAGTCTCTGGGTGCCTGGTGTGCTGACTCATGGCATGCTCCTGCCTGTCCACAGGCACCTGACAGGCGCTTTCTGACCCCCAGATAAACATTGTGCTTCTGCAGGCACAGCCTGAGGAAGTTCTGGCACCAGCAAGGAAGGTGCTCTGCCCCGGCTTGCTGTTGAAATAGGAAAAGTTTGGTCATGCAAGAGCCGGGCCACAGTTTCCTGAGACACCCTGCTAAGCTGGCTGCCTTGGGCCCAAGGAACAGCATTGCTAAAGCAGAGTTCGGCAGCACAAAACATCTGATAGCTTAAAACCATAAAGCTTATCAGCTGTGCCACGTCCCTAAATCAACTGAAGGAACTCAGTAGATTGAACCCATCAGCTTGTTACTGGAATATAAATTCAGTAGGTGAGCCAAGTGCTGTTCTAAGCCAGCCTGTGTCTGCAGGGTCCTGGAGGCAGAGTATGGGATCCACTGCAACATGACCTTGCTGTTCTCCTTTGCTCAGGCTGTTGCCTGTGCTGAAGCTGGAGTTACTCTGATCTCCCCATTTGTGGGAAGGATCCTGGATTGGTATGTTGCAAATGGAGACAAGAAAACCTATGAGCCTTCAGAGGACCCAGGTAAACACATATTTAACACTGTTAAGATGACAATAGCTACTCATTCAAACAGTTTACTCATGTAAACCCTCTATGACAAAATGCTGGGTTTGAACCTGTCCTAATTAATCATTTAGAATCATTCTTGAACTTGCTGGCTTCTCCCTTTTAGGAGTGAAGAGTGTCACCAAGATCTACAACTACTACAAAAAGTTTGGCTACAAAACCATCGTGATGGGCGCGTCGTTCCGAAACACGGGCGAAATCAAAGCACTCACAGGCTGTGACTATCTCACCATTTCACCCAAGCTCCTGGCAGAGCTCAGCAAAGAGCACGTCAAGTTAACTCCCACACTCAGTGTGAAAGAGGGTAAGTCCACTCCTGGCTCACACCGGCTTCTTCAGCCTTCCTTTCTCCTGCATCATCAAAAGAGTTAAGGGTTCCACGCAGCGCTGTGGTGCTCAATTCCATCCTGCTTTAGGGACAAGGCTCATTTCCTGAAGGAAGTACTGTAGTACTGTTATAGCATTGCTGCTACAATTGCAGACACACCTTTAGGGTCTTGGGTCCGCTGGGTTTGGAGTGTGCTTCCATCCTCTGTGCCTCTCCCAAGGGAACAGGGAGAGCAGAGGGAAGTTTATCTTCACGTGCTCAGGATGAAATTTTACTGAATATTAGCAAAGATGCCAAACTTGTTTAATCCTAATCTCTAGACATGCCAAAAGGTGTTTTCCCTCCAGAAATTATACACAAGACCAAGTGAGTGGATCTAGTGACACTGTGCCACAATGGCTTTGAATGCTTGTTCCCATTGCATTACTTCAAGCCCAGGTTGGACAGGGCTTGGAGCAACCTGGGCTAGTGGCAGCTGTCCCTGCCCATGGCAGGAGGTGGAACTGGATGAGCTTTAAAGTCCCTTCCAACCCAAACTGTTCCAGGATTCTGTGCTACTCCTCCTTTTCTGTAGCCTCATTTAAAATGCTGCTTTGCATCTCAGCAAACAAGCTCTGCACAGCTGTAGTCATGGGTTGCTGCTCACAGGTTGCTGGCTGGCCCGCAGGCCTGTTATCAAGCGAGCTTTTGTTAGTTCTTGCTAAATAAAGCCCTGATTGTTCAGAATATTTGCTTAGAATGTCTCACTGCTGTAGGACTGTTGCATAATTCCTTAGAACAGGCCTCAGAGTGCTGTGCCATTCAGCAGCAGGTACAAGAACAGCACACACATACGTGGTGGTTTAAGACAAATCGATTATCCAGATTACCTTTTCTCTCCACCCCCCCCCAGCCATATCAGGAGCACTTTCGATCTCACACCCCAGACTGTGCTTCTGCAGCAGGTCATGCTGAAAGCATTGCAAAGTTTTTCAATACCTAGAGATGCTCAGGAGCCTAAATTTGATGGAATCCAATCATCTGGCTTGTTTCTGTTTCTTACTCCCCTTGCACAGCTCAGGCATGTGACCTGGAGAAGATCCACCTGGATGAGAAGGCGTTCCGCTGGCACCACAACGAGGACCAGATGGCCGTGGAGAAGCTCTCCGATGGGATCAGGAAGTTCGCTGCAGATGCAGTTAAGCTGGACAGGATGTTAAAGGTAGATGTTGTGTCACGCTCCTCCCAGGCACTGCAGCCAACCTGCAGTTCCCTTTGATGTGGCTGGGGATAAAAGCAAGTCTGGTCAGGCTTTTGGACCCGTTCTGTGGGACAGGCCACCTAAATGCAGTGAGCTTGGTAATCTTCACTGTGTGCCAGGAAAGAACGAACGCCAGGTGTGGGCCACACCTGCAGTTTGGGGCCCCAGGCAGGGTTTGGACTGCCAGCTCATCAAGATAACACCACTGTCAAAGTGAGAAGTCCTTCAAGTCTGATTCTAAACTCATTAGCTGTCAGCAGCAGCACAAGTAATCTGCACATAGTGAGCTGGAAATAAATCATGTTTATGCTTGGAGGCACTGAGAAGGCACAGATCTGCTGTGAAAGTCCTCTGTCAGTTTATGGAGAGGCTTTCACATGGGATTCACTAAACTGTGTGGGATTGGGGGACAAATACTCAGCACCATACCTGATTCCAAGCACTTGGTGACTGACAGCTCCTTGCACTGTTCCCAGACTCTTCCTCAGCTGCTCTTTGTTTGTTCTCTTCGCAGGAGCGAATGTTCAGCGCTGAAAACGGAAAGTAAAACCAAGAAAAATCAGCACTTCCTTGAGGGCTCCAGGATGAGCAGATCACCTGAGGTTCAGTGGATGTACAAATGTCTTACCTGTAAAAGTATCATGCTGTGTATGGATAGATTTCTGTATCATGCCCTTCTTTTTTTTTTTTTTTTTTTTTTTTTACCAATTTGCAAAGGGACAAATAGAACATCAAATTTTTGTGGCACTTTTGTCAATACATGCAAATTAACCCAGACCTGCCTTGTAACGTGGTTAGTTCACTGCTGTAGGAGACATCTGAGAGGATTTTAGTTTCCTAAGGTTTTGTAATTGAATTTTCCTAGTTCAGTTTGCAGCCCTAGCACATTGAAGAAAGCAGTTTTGAGTTTCAGGCTGTTTTAAAGGGGAAACACAGGTTTCAAAAGCCCCTCTTGGTACAAACCACACAGGTACTCTTATGAGACATACGTATGTGAAAATTATATATATAATATAAACTGAGTCCCCATCCCTGGAGGGATTTAAAAGCCATGTGGATGTGGCACTTGGGGACAGTGGTTAGTGGTGGCCATGGCAGTGCTGAGGGAATGGCTGGGCTCCCAGATCTCAGAGGTCCTTTCCAAGCTCAGCTATTCCACGATTCTAAGAGATTCCTGCTTATATGTACACACAGTTCACTGCTTCCTGACAAAGTTGCCTGAACTTAACCTTTTAAAAAGGGAAAAAACGCAGTACTGAGGCCACACCACTGACACACCCGTGCTCTGTCCAGCTTGAATGACACAAAGGAAGACGAGCCAAGGGAACCAGTAATCACTCACAGGAGTGTGACACAGCAGCACTATTGCCAGGACATCCCTAACAGCCTGGGAACAAAGGGACAGCCAGCTACAATCAATCAATCAGACATGGATAGCCGGACATCCCAGCCCTGCCCTGGGAATAGTGCCAGTCTGCCTGAGGGAGATGAAGGCACCTCAGGGGGCTCACCCAGCCCCTCTGTCCCTACAGGTGTTAGAGGTGGGAAGCAGGCCAGGCAGGAAGCAGGCTGTCCAAAGGCAGCTGACCTTTTCCCTGTCCAAGTCTAGGCAGCATTAAAAGCTTCACCCACATGTGTGGAATCTGTCACCTCAAAGCTGGGTCAGTAATAACACCACGGGGCTCAAATTAAACTCAAGTGTTCTCAGAGTTGCCCGAGAGACAATAAAATACTGCAGTGAAAGGGGAAAGAGAGGCAGGAAAAGGTCCCTCAATAACAGTTAAACCTGACTCCACTTTCCTACAGACACCTCAGGAGCTGAGGGGGCAGGAGATGAACAAGTTATGCTTAAAGTGTCACAGGGTCCCTTAGCTGCTGTGGTGGCAGCTGCTGTTCCCCTCTCAGCACTGGGGTTTCCTCTTCCCTGCAGCACAGGGGGATGTTGGGAGGTGCCTCATGTCCGGGGCTAAGCCACAAAATCTACATCCTTCCTGAAATGGGGTAGAAACCCAACAACCACATAAACCTTCAGCCTCTACAGCCCTTCAGTCATCACACATGGGACCTTTCCTCCTTAACTCTTCCTCAGCTTCACCTCTCCTCAGGAGACGAGGAGACCTCCCACAGAATCCTGTCTGAGCCCAGCTTACAAACTCATGCAGGTGTTTCCCAGATGCCCATACCTCCTGAGATTAAGAAATCAGGTGTCTGTCATCTCCCAGAAAGATTTTCCCTCTCACAGTCACAAGGACAGGCTTAGCCTCAGGAATCAGGAGCAAGTAAAACGCGTGTTTGTGGAAAAATCCCAAAGCATCACTACACATCCTGTAAATCTTGATTTAAAAATGCCCTTACCTTTTGTTTGACACACACAGAGCCAGTAATACTTGCCAGCCAAAGACTCAACCTTTCCAGCCTCTTGGGACAGGAAATCCCCCTTTATGACAGTTTTGTTTCCAATCCCTGGCTAGAATTAGTCATTCTGTACAAGAACTTGGAGCTACCATCACTGATGGCCTCGAGTTGTGCCAGGGGAGGTTTAGGTTGGATAATGGGGAAAGCTGCTTCGTGGACAGGGCTGTCAAGCATTGGAACAGGCTGCCCATGGCAGTGGTGGAGTCACCATCCCTGCAAGTGTTCATCAGTTTACATCCCTCAGAGGCACAAAGAGCAATTCCAACAGGTTCTGGATGCCACCAAATAAGGGAAAAAAATAGCACAGAAGCGAACTGATCAAAGCCTGCAGTGGCCTAAATGCTGTTTGCTCACCATGACAGAACCTCATGTAAGGAATGAAAACAGGACGCGAGGTGGACACCAATATTCTATTTTTACAGGCAAACAGTGAAAGGTGCAATGGAATTTGGCAAAATCCCATGGGAACACAGTCCTAAAGGAAATACAGACTTGTGGCTGCTCAGACTCCCAGTTCACACTCAAGATGGGGCTTTTTCCAGATGTAAGGGATGCCCTGAAGGTGTCAGCATCAAATCCCTAAGGAGACTTGTCAGGAATGAAGATTTATCAAAGCTATTCGATAATTTCTATCAAAGCCCCATTTTCATTTCAAAATTAAATTCTAGAGCTGGGCTTTAGAATGTAACAGTCAAAGACCCAGAAAATCCCACAGCAGTTTGTCTTTTACAAGTCACACCGTTCTTGAGACAGAGCTAAAAAAATTGGGTCTCTACAGAAGAGACAAAGTTACCTTGACTTGTTATAACCAATACTACCCCAGTAAGAAAACAAAAGTGTGACCACAAAGGTCCTTCCCTTCAGAGCACTGTAGAAATGTTGCCCACTATTCCAAGAGGGATGGAAAAATTAGTTACCTAAAAGTTAATTTATCTCCTTTCCAATACATTTAGTATGTTTGAGCCTGCGACAGTGAAAAAATATTCTGATTATTCCTTTCCACGCTCAGCTTCAAGCCGCGTGTGCAGCTCAGAAAGAAGGAGAAGGCCAGATTCCAGCCTACAGCTGGTCCCTCAGATGTGATCCACATGATCTGCCCGCATTTTTAGTCCCTTTGTCCATGAAATTCCAGCAAGAGGCAGCAGCAATGTACTTGCAGAGAGAAATATTTTAAAGAGAACAAAAGTCACAACATGAGCAGCACAAACGAGAACAAATACCCAGTTGTAAGATCACATAAAAATCAGCTGAGCAAACCTTTTAAACACAATTCCAAGGACGTGAACGAGCAAGGGAGAAAACAAGGGCACATTGTGCATCAGTGTAATGCCAACCCAGAGCAAGGCCTCCACCTTCAGCCACTTGTATTCACAGCACCAACCATGGGGGGGTTTCAAGAAGACAGTTTCCCCACCCCTGCAGACCGAGGGTCTAGAGAAGCACCCAGCAAATGTAGCAGCAAAAATGCAGGGGGGTGTCACAGTTGCTTCATCCATTCGGTATACACAGAACCTGACACGGCCACTCCACTGTCACAGTCACTTCCCAGTCCACAACAGGGAGTTAAGAGGGATGTTTTGTCCAAGAGCCAAGGGAATCCTCAGCCTGCTGGCTCTTCATCCATCCTATTTGCAAAGAGACCTGCTCCTTCATTTCCTGCTGAAGGAAACACATCCAGACATGACACGACCCATTAGTCCACAGCCAGCACAGGACTTGTAACACATTCCCGAGCAAGAGATAACCTTGGGGTTATCTACACGTGCTCCTGTCTGACAAGGTGACAGGCAAACAGCCAAGCCATTTCCAAAGAAATTAAGTCCATTCATTCCCAGAATCCTCAATCAGAACTGACTCAGTGCTAACCTGCCAAGGCTCAAGAGACAAGAGACGTTTCTTCTAATATTTAGTGAAGCCTATGTACTATTTTGCTTTACCAGTTCCACTATAGCTATGCATTTCCCCACACATTTTAATCGTTTTCAAAGTAATCAACTGCCTGAAGAGCCTGACTGAGAGTGACACCTAATTAGTCAACCAAGGGCAAAAGCCTCTGTGGAGGGACAGGATTCCCAAAACTAAAAGATGCTCACCCCCCGGCTGTTCCCAGTCCTTATCCCCTATTGCCTCACCTGACATTGCAGAGAATGAGAAGATTCTGGACAGCAGGAAGGGTGGAATTGTCGTTCTGCCCCGTCACCAGGTGCCTGTCCAGCACGACGTGAACAGCATCGGGGCTGCTGGCTGGACCCAGGAGAGAGCACAGCAGGGACTGTCAGTGCACAGAGCCCACCCCACCAGCAACCACCCTGACCTGGCACATCTGCTGGGTGCTGCTCCCTAACCCCACACCGGGACAGCCTCGAGCCCCTGACCCTGCCACCATTTCCCCATCGATTTGATGAGCACCAGGTGGGTAAGGCACGTTTACCACGAGATTTTCATTGCAAAAACCTCAAAGTATGTATTTTAAAGTTGCGATTACCTTGCAACTGTTATGCAAGACATCAGTTGTAATCACTATGCCACAAAAATTAAATACTGATTCTTTGGCCAATTTTAATACCCCCAGTGTGTTCAGATCTACCAGCAACTGCTCAGTACCCCAGCTAGAATTTTTAAGTTACCTTATTCCAGACGGAATCATAGAATCCCAGCCTGGAAGGGACCTTAAAGCTCATTCAGTCCTGCCCCCTGCAGGGACACCTTCTACCAGGCTGCTCCAAGCCCCACCCAGCCTTGAAAATCACTAGTAAATTAGGGAATGGGAACGCCAGATGAGAGATCCTGGCACAGTCCCACTCAGCTGGGGACAGCCGGCACACAAACACCCATTTGCAAAAGGCAGACACTAAGTGTGAAGTCCTGGACACCAGGAGTGACATACCACTGAATGTAGCTCCAGAATCCTTCACAAAATCTTCCACAATAATGGACAAACTCGCAAAATTCGGCTGCCTCACCAGTTCATACACAGAGGGCTGAAAAAGATCAAAAGGAGGTAAGTTTGTTTGGTTTTTTACAGAAAAAAAGCCAAGCAAAACCAACACATTTCCCTGCAACTCATATCCCTATTCCCTCCAGGATTCTCCCAACCAAACGATCGTGCTTTGATGGATTTCCTGCAGGAAGCAAACTGAAAACTTTATCTCCCTTAAACACCAAACATTTTCTGCACGTGTAATTAACTTCAGGGAAGTGCAGACCTGTCTGGCTGTGGGACACAAATATTTGGACACAGGTGCTGGGCCACCTGTAGTGCCCAAGTAACAGTGATCCACCCCAGAATGAGTATGGGAAACAAATAAAGAGAAAAACTGAAGAGCACTCAG